CATGTTTTTCTAGAGGGGAAAAAACGGGGTGATCTAACGGACATAAAATAAGTTAAAGTACTAAAAAATAAAATGGAAATAATTGAAGCTAAATAGAAATGTAAAAAAAAAAAAACTATAAAAATGAAAAAAAGCTAAATGATAAACAAACTGAAAAAATTCAATAAATGGTCATTCAAAATAATAAATAAGATATTATATAAACAACGCTAAAATAGCACTGATTAGTTAAAATTATTTTAATTAAATTAAAATAAATTAATTCTTACATATTAATATCTGCTTGACTGCTTTTATTTAAAACTTTTTCACCCAAATAAAAACCATGTGGTTCAATCAGGTGTGGTCCAAATGAACGTGCAGAAAAATGCATCAACAAAAAATAAATAAAAACAAAAACAAAACAGGGAATGACATCACAGAGAACCCCTGCAGACCCTCGTGACTGTGGCGGTAAAAGAGTAGAGTCGCTTAAAATATCAGATGAATTGTGATGTGGCTAGGTTATTTTAAGTTGTGCCACTCACGAAAAATGCAATTTCTAAAAAACTAAAAAAAAAAATATTACCCACATACACACATATATATATATATATATATATATATATATATATATATATATATATATATATATATATATATATATATATATAAATACATATACACACACACATTGTTTACCTTAAATTATTTATTAAAAAATTTTTTTTTACTTAGTTACACCACATGAACTTTTCATGAAAGTAGTATAATTTTCAAAACCATATGAATCCAACATGAATACACAGAGCACACAACTTGACATGTTTGTTTTTTTATGTAGATTTTCCAATTCTTTATTCTAGACACTCTTATACGTCATTGCCCCATAGATGATGCATACATATCGTGTTGATTTGGTCAGCAGCGGATGGTCCACAGAGGGGCAAGGCATTGCTTTCACTCCCCACATGGTCGCTTGACAAATGTTAGCATGAGCCTCTAAAGCGGCATGACAAGCGCATGCTGAGAGCAAAGTCGAGCTAATGTGTTCTGGCATGCGGCTCGCTAATCACACATTTACATATGCAATGACCTACATTTGCATGTCAGCTCGCGCACTGTCCGGCCTGATTAACGATGGGCACCTCCCAGCGCCGAGGAGGCCGGCATAGCGGCGAGAGGAGGCCAGAGGGTGGCGGCTTTTTTGGCAGCCGAAGGGACGCACTGCCAGCCAGGATTAGGCCTGACGCGGCCTGAGCTCCAGACACTTCATTAGAGGTAATCTGTTTAGCAGTGGGCAGTGTATGTAAACTTCACAGGCCATTTGCGGCACCTTTCTGCCCCCTGGCCTCGCCTTCAAAGGGCAGCAGGGGCGCCCTGACTGACAGCTTGTCTCATCCGTGGCTTTGCGCTGTCACACAATTTAGAGCACTGAGCTGACAAGAGATGAACCGCAGCAGCCGAGGATCTCCACGACCGCCGGGGTCACTCGACAGCGGCGTGACGCGGTTTGTACAGATTGCAGCTTGCAGGAGGGGCGAGAGCTCAAAGGGCTTGTTGCTGCTCTGCAGGAAGTGGAGAAAACAAAAATAACACACGGAGGTGGGAGGAAAGGGGCCAAGGATGCCTTGAATTGGGATGCTGAACAACTTTTATGCAACGCTTTCCACTAGGATAGTCACATTAGATGGAAATGAAATGTCAGCGAAATTTTGCAGAAAAAAAAGGCCAGTCTATTGTCAATAGCGTAGCAATGTATAAAGCATAACTCACACTGAAGTCACTGTCAAAGCAAACTGCTTTCTCTCTCAGCACGGAAATTCACGTGACCAACTTGAACATGAGTGAAATCTGCGAAGGGAACTTTTCCATCCTCACACAAAACTCCCAAAATCGAGCTGATTCCTATTGAAATGACTGGATTACACTCACAACATTTAGCTAAACAACAGTAAACAGTATCACACCTTTCACTTCAAGGATGATGACTATACCGATAACAATAACTATAAAGTTAACGAATCATTCTAATTTAATGAGAATAGAATTATCTGACAAAAGAATTCGAATTCTATGAGAATAGACCAATTTCGAGCCGACGTCACAGTTACGTCACGTCACGGCGCTAACTGGAGGCAAAACAAAGGGAAAACTGGAGGCGGCCAATACAAACCAGCACAGATTCGGCTACATAATAAGGAGCTTAAATTATTATTATTATTAAATGTCATCTTGTTGTGTTGTTGGGTGCAAGAATCGATGCAAAATGAATATGCTGTATCTAGTATTTTTATTTCTAGAAAATATTCACATCATAAAAATGGCACCTTTACATCTTTACATTGTCGTCTTCTTGGCGCTGGCTAGGCAGAACTGCGGATCGTACCACACAAGTCTTGTACATGACCATTCAGCACATAGTTATAGGCATCTAAAGATGTATATGCCCTCAGTTTCTTTTTTCGCTCTGTTTCTCTATCAGGTAACGTTAGGTGTAGAAGTCAGGTCACTCAACCGGAGGTAGCGTTAATGTTAATCCTGTCAGATCGTCCATCCATTGACAGCATGTACAGTACGGGTCAGCCAATCTGGTTCCGTCCGTTAAAATTAACTTTTGCAAATAACAATCGCGGTCCTGGACAGAGAGTGACCTTGCACGTTAAGATAAAATCGGATTTTCTCCAGTCATTGTTAAAAAACAAGCCAACAAAACTTGCAAACTAAGGTTAGGGAAGCGGTCAGAGGGATCGTTCTGCCTCCACCTAAGCTCCGCCCACAAAAAAACTGCACCATGTTTACTAACTGAAAAGGGGTCTATAGGGAAGATCAGGGAAGTCCTATAGTAGCATTGATAATAAATATAATGCTATCGTGCATTGGTGTGGATACTAAAATAGTTATTCTTGGTGTGAATGGGCCTTTAGATCCATCGTTTCGGTTAAATAAATAAAAAAGGTCAGAGGAGACGGAAGATGAAGCAAAGCATGCTGGGTAAATGACTCAAAGGGACAACACATCATAGGAGCAACAGCAAACGATGGAGGGTTGGCCACTGGTGACATGAATGTAAAAAGAGAAATGCAGACATGCAGCCGCATGACAGGGGATGCGAGATAGGAGGAGGAGGAGAATGACGGAGGACGGGGCGGCAGCAGCGTGGAGACTAGGTGTGAGCTGACAGCACAACACTGCCAGCGGCTGCCAAGGAAAGGACAACCGAAGCGCTGAAGAGGTGGTGCAGTAGCAGTGGTGGTGGTAGTGTTGGTTGGTTGGTGGGTGCTGGAGGGGGGGGATCTTCGTGGTGGGGGGAACAAGGCAGGAGATCCTGTTCGCATCCTTTTCATCAACGTCTCTCTCCAGGCCCGGCCCATGCAATATTTATACCTCCTTCGCCCTGCTCCTCTTCAATCTGCTCCAGTATTTAAAGCCCTTGCTTTACAAGGGGATTTTGCTTCGTCGAAAAATCCGCCGTGACGATTAAAATCGGATCTGAAGATCTCGCCCTCCCACTCGCTCTGAGAGCAAATGCGCCATCAAATATGCACGCCTTACCGACTTATCCGGCATCTCCTATGCATATCCATCAAACCTTGGGGACTTTAAGATATGCTATCATATGCGTGATTGCATTCACAATTCAGCATTTTCGCTTGCTTTTTTTCCAAGGGAATACGAGCTGAACTTGAACGCTTGTTGCGATTCTTGTAAAAGTCATTCTCTTAAGCTGTCACGGTGTAATCCGTAGCCAGACTTACCTTGAGTGTTGCCTTCAAATTAATGCCAAATGTCTCATATGTTTATTGATGACAGCGGGCTTTCAGTTTTCATCCTCAGCTGTCCTCGACAATATTTTGTAAAATAAGACCAATCACTATGACCGGTCAAGGAAGTTTGAGCGATATTGGATTTTGTGCAATAACTATGGTTAAAAAAAAGCTGAATTTCACTTTTTATCGGCCAATGCGTTTTTAAATAAGTATGTTTGAGAGAGTATAGGAGCCTAGAAGGTATGAAATCCCAGAAGCAGCTTGCAACCAAAATTCCCCAAAATAACCAAGAACCAGTTTTTATAAACATTGTCATTTAATACATTTCAGACTCCTGTAGTCTCTATATCTGGGCTGAACCATCACAAAAAATAAATTTATACACATTCAACATTTTAAAACCTTTTGGATTCAGCTTTTCCCTTACATTACCTATTGGTATCCATAAAATTCAATATATGTCGACTGGCAGACTTATAGATATATAAATCAAAGTATACAAGATATTTAATGTTAGTTTAAACAGAACTCTTATTGTAAGTCTAGCCATTGATTATTCAATGAAAGGTTAAAAAGAAGAATGTCTTAATTTTTTAATTAAGAGGGACTTTTAACAATAACAAGCTTGGAAAAACACAGGACTACTTTTTTGAAATTCTCTCCAGATAAGGGAAACCCAAAATACATTGTCAATCATTTACAACTTACTACAGTATAAACAAGAATGAGCAGTAACTTACCAACAGTAATATTTCAATACCGTTTTGTTTTCCTTTATTAACATCTGATATTAATAATTACGCAATACTAAAAAATAGCCTGACGTTGTCATACTCAGATTCTAGTCAGAATGCGAGTCTGATACTGCTCCATTGGGCTGTGATTATGGGGCGTGTTTCAACCGAACCAGGAAAAAAAATGCCTCTGCACTCAATTGGATTCGACCGAATCCCGTAAGAAGGATGGCAAAAACATCTTTCCGATCGACAAATGCCTTGATCGCGGTTCTCTGTTCCTCTTTTAAAATGAATGCGCTGTCTAGATCTTCTATAACAGACGCGATGGCTGAATCTACACATCTAAATTCTCCAGCGGCAGCCGTTCTTTGTCGTAAACGAATTCAACCCAAGCGCTCTTTGGTAGGGGTGTAAATATTAATCGATTCGTATCGGTCCAATCGATTATACAGCTGACGATTCGATGCGTCCGCAAGAGTATCGATTAATGTGTTTATTTTGCCGCCTGTCTGTTCGCCTGTCTATTTTCAGCATCAGCTCCGACATATGCGTACAACCTATTCCTAAGCTGTGAGTGGCGCTAACCTCATTATTGTCTTCTACTTCACACGCGTTACTTACGTTTCACAGTCTATCTATGTTCACACATTGTTGAGTCTGACTTTCAAGAGCGATGGAACCGTCAGAGCGAGCTGGCAATGAAAGTGAAATGTTACACACTCCAGTCGGCGTCAAGTCATGGGTGTGGAAGTATTTTGGCTTCAGGAAAACAGATGGAGCAGTGGTAAGAGATATTTCCGTTTGCAAAGAAGACTGCTATAGTGTAACATACACATTATGTGAATAGAATACTGTGGCGAGCAGGCCTAGGGACGTGAGAGAACGGCGCAAGGCTGGTGGTGTGAGTGTTAATGAACATCACCTGTGAGACGCACTGGTCTCGCATCTCTCACGGAGGAGTGGAAGCATAAAAAGAGGAGCGACGACGCTGAAGATCGAGAGACCGGTGCGTCTCTCACAGGTGACATTCATTAACACTCAAGCCACCGGCCTCGCGCCATTCTCTCACGTCGGCCGCGTCCTGCTCGCCACAAATGCTGTTTCTGTATTCTCAATAAAAGGCTAATTATTATTATTTTATTTTTATTTTTTTGAAACTTAATAGATATCATGTAAACATATCTAGTATTGAATCGTATCGAATCGTATCGCGGGAAATTCTGAAGTATCGAAAATAATCGAATCGTTGGCTTAAGAAATCGGTCTCGAATCGTCATTAAGGCTCCGATTTACACCCCTACTCTTTGGTGACGTGGATGATTACGTTACTGTTGATCAGCTGTCCATCATCGTATAAAGCCTGCCCTGACAATTTGATTGGTCCGAACAGCTTTGGTTCGGGCATACTTGCTTTACAACGGATCAAGTCCAGACCGAACTTCCCATCCTCAAATGTTGTGGGCGGGGCTAAGTTCAGCTGGCATCCAGGCTAACTAAAAATATTAGTCCATAAACAATAATGATGTAAGAATTCACAAGATGAAGATGTTTTTACATTGACCAAATGACCAAAAACGGAATGTCTGTGACGAGGCACATTTTACTTATAAAACTTCTAATCTAATCTTAATCTTCTAAATATCCAGTTAGTGAGGATAAAAAAGTTTAATGACTGATTTACATGCACAAGAAAGATACTACCCATGTAAAAATAAATAAATAAATGAGGGGTGATATCTGATGTTCAGAAAGCTTGTATTGGCAGTCAATAAGCGAACAAACATTAAGACAACAATAATGGTGTCAGATGATTGGAGGAAATTAGTCTGGGCGTGTAAAAAAGTACGTACGACAAAAAAGAGATTAAGAGAAGAGAACGAGGAAGAGAGAGAGAGAGAGCAAAAGACTGCTAAAAGCAGCAGATTTCCAACACCTCTGTCTCTGGCACTGGAAACACATGATGGCTCCTGTGTGCAGGAAACGTTGCTTGTGCAGAGAGCAGAATCTCATTATCACCTCTCACCCAGCACAGCAGAGAGACAGCCGGAGCAGACCGCCGCCTGTCTCTCTGCGGGTGGATTGACAGACACGGGGAGATTTGAAGGGGGCAGATGTGGATGTGGAAGAGGGCGACAGGCTCGTGCTACATGCTGCTAAGCAAGCAGGTGTTGAGTCAGGATGGTAGACGCCGAAAAAAAAGAAAGAAAAAAAAACCTCAAGTGGCTTTGTAGAACCGCTATATAATGAGATTACAAAAGAAAGTTTGGCTAGACTGAATGTGTGTTTGTGTTTATGTGTGAGAACACAAACCTGTGGCTGAAACACTGGCACCGGTGGCTGCTGGCCTTGTGATTGGGCGTCCATCGTGACAGCAGCAGTCCCTTACACCCCTGTGAAAGAAACAATCAAACTAAATAAGATGCATCAACCATTCCGGCACGGCTACAGGAACAAACCCTCCCTCCGTGTAATAATCTCCAGTGAAGGTGGACGTGCAAATCTGGTAATAGAATTAGGGTCCGGAGAAGTGCTCCTGACAATCACGAGCTTGCACGGGAACGGCTGGCCTGCGTCACCTCGCACGAGGAACCCGATCCGATGAGAACACAACACCCATTGTGTTAATGAGAAATGTCAAAGAGCCACGCTACTGGAAACCCTTCAAACTGACTTGCAAATATCAATTGTTAAATCAAATGTTAAAACTTGAAGCCCATTCGTGGAGTGCCAGAGGAAATTATTGCAAAAAAAAAGATGCAAAAATATTCTTTGAATGGGTGTAACCAAATACAGTGGTCACAATACTATAGACCCACAATTACAGTTTAAAACGAGAATATGTACTAGGTACAGGACCAGGTCAACCACTAAAACTCAATATTATTATCAGTTACATGATCTCTAAATCCCTCAATTAGTATACCGATAAATAATAATATGACTTATTCTGTATTCTTCTGAAATCATAATTTCCAGTAGATTAAGTGGAGCTTGGTGTTTTTGCATAGGGAACACACGAGTAATCAAATAACCACATTAAAAAAGATCTAAATGATTAAATCACAGACAAAATGTTGTAATTATTTGAAATTTAAACTAAATTATCCAAATAAGTCAACTTTACTGAAGCGCAAGTAAGACACAATATACATTTGGCCATGCCATTGGATTCCATCGTTGGGCCATTTAAAAAAATGTTTTACATTACAAAACCAAAATATATATGGTTTTAAATTCTTCTTTTTTACATTTTGTTTAGAGTTAAAACCCCAAGTCTTTATTTTGGTGTGAAAACTGAAGGTAGACCTTCAAATTGCGAGCGTAAAAATGTAGTTAACCTTGTCCACTTATCTTTTTTTCAACTCACATTATAAGCAGACCACACCGTGACCCACACTTGATGCACATTCAGAGATGAATTGTTTAACCTTAATTATGACATTTACCGATAACTGTTTCCATGTAGTTAAAACCAGCTCGCTAGGGTTATCACTGTAAAGCTGCAACAATGTGTATTGTGTAAAGCGCTAACTAACAGCAATTTGTTTTCAAATATTTTGGTGGTCTAAGTAGTGCAAAATGCGTAACTTAAATTTTGGAATAAATTTAATTTTAATTCAGAAACCGTGGCGTGTACATTTTATTTGGAATCATTAAATCCTGATGTCATCCTGATCTCTAGATATCCGTTTTAGGACATTATTAAAAACAACAACATACAGGTTAACCACAAATGTCAACCCAAAGATTCCTTCATTATTTTTAGACACAAAAACCAAACCTTCAATAACGCCCGCCCATAAAGAACCTACTATCTGCTTGTTGAGTCTACTGCTCCTTGAAAGCCTACAGAGACATTAATGTGGGCACAATAAAGCGTATGTGCAAGCAAGAAACAGTGAAGACGAGTTGTCTTTGCAGAGCCGACGATGAGAAGGAATAAATTAGGCCTGAGCTCTCGTCGGTGACAGAGAGCAAATACAAAAGATGGCTGCGCGCGTTTCTTTACATCAAGCCGGGAGATGGGCCTGTGCGTGCAGCAGCCATCAAAATTTTTAATGATTGCTCGGTTGTCACTTCACTGCGGCGTGCAGCTCGGGTGAGCTCGCCGTGTCCTCACTGTACTGAAGGAATATGAGCGAGGGGTTACACAAAAAAAAGGAAACACTCCTTTCATAGAAAGGCCATTTACATGTCGCTCACCGCGGTGAACGTCCGTCTCCGCGCGTTGTCAGGGCTGAGTGGATCGAGGAGCTCGAGCCAATTAAAATACCTCATGCCGGTGAACGGAGAAATGGAGCTGAAGCTGTCACCATGGCAAAATAAAATCAGCCTGGTTTGTTGAAGGTTAATAACACTAATTAAGCACCAACCCCGCGTCTGAGATTTGAGTGGCAGTGCGAGCAGGACAGGGTTTGTTGCCACCGAAGATTTGTTTCTGTTAGCCATTTTTGCAGTTTAGCTAAATTTGTCTCCACATTAAGGATTGTAGGAACTGCTTGCGTGACGCATTTTCTCTGGGGAAGAAACTAGTCGTTAAAGCCACACATTTAAACAGCCTCTCTACGAGTATGTAATTAGTATTGGAAGAGTACGTTTTTAAATTAATGAAACACACCCGAGCTCCCAAAAAAGGGTACTTATGTACACTCGTGAATAATTCTGGACACTAATTAGCAGTTTGAGACAGTCGTCAATGGACGCTCCTGTTGGCAATGTATTATCTTCCTATTATGAATTTATTTATTTATTTACTATTTTACGCAATTGCATTGATCAGAATGACAAATCAAACTGCAATCACACAGGCGACTTTTAAAGTGAACATGAAATGCTGTAAGTAAGTAAGTAAGTAAGTAAGTAAGTAAGTAAGGAAGGAAGGAAGGAAGGAAGGAAGGAAGGAAGGAAGGAAGGAAGGAAGGAAGGAAGGAAGGAAGGAAGGAAGGAAGGAAGGAAGGAAGGAAGGTGGGTGGATGGATGGATGATGGAAGGATGGATGGAAAGATGGAAGGATGTATGGATGGAAGGAAGGAAGGAAGGAAGGAAGGAAGGAAGGAAGGAAGGAAGGAAGGAAGGAAGGAAGGAAGGAAGGAAGGAAGGAAGGAAGGAAGGAAGGAAGGAAGGAAGGAAGGAAGGAAGGAAGGAAGGAAGGAAGGAAGGAAGGAAGGAAGGAAGGAAGGAAGGAAGGAAGGAAGGAAGGAAGGAAGGAAGGATGGATGGATGGATGGATGGATGGATGGATGGATGGATGGATGGATGGATGGATGGATGGATGGATGGATGGATGGATGGATGGATGGATGGATGGATGGATGGATGGATGGATGGATGGATGGATGGATGGATGGATGGAAGGTAGGGGTGGGAGAAAAAAAATCGATCCATCGATGCATCGCGATTCTCTCTCCAACGATTCTGGATCGATTCTGAGAATTACAGAATCGATTCTGAGCTTAGTTTTTAACCAGATGTGCGATGACGTTTAGTTTGGTTTAGAAACACCCGTTTTCTGCTTGATTCCAATTCCTCACACACATACACCACTCGAACCTTACGTAAAATAATCTTTCATAAAGTTCGGAAAGGTTGAAGCGAATTACAAGGACATTCACAGGCTTCATTGCACACGCTGTGAGAGACACGCGCTTTCTTTGATGTTACACTTGAAGTGTGCTGTCTCGCCCGTCGGTATTTTCCTTACAAATGCTCTAGGAAAGTCATCATTTATGTGGTTTGGAATGCAGTGGACTTATATATTTAAAATATGAACCTCACTAACAGAAGGCTGGTTTCAATTTCAAATGCTGACGCGCGCTTTGTTTGTGAGACTGCTCACGCTGCCGCGCATGCGGCTGTGCGACTCCGTGTAGTGGTTTAATGTACTTGTGCAAAATTAACGTAAACACAGCCAGTTATGTCTTAAGGGATTAAACGGACAGGACACACCGCATTACTTCTTTTATTTCAAAAGAGATGCGTGCGTGAATGCAGCTTTTAATAGATCTACCGCAGTCTATGATGTCATAGTAAAAAACAACAGTAAAGATGAAGAAAAATGACTCACAGTTCTTGAATGGAAAACGTTCAGATAATCTATAGGCAACTGAAAGCTCTTTTTGTTTATTATTTG